CAATAATTAGAACAGGCGCTCCAAAATCGTAAAACGAAGTTAAAAATTTTATATTGGATAAGTTCGCCCCCTGTTAAGAATGTCCTCGCAGCATTATCTGCAGTTAACCTTCCTACGATTTTCAATGTATTTTGCAATATAATTTTCATTCCTCCCGATGAAGAATTTTATTAATCAAGAGTGGGGGAGGGGTGGAAAATCCCCTTGGGGCCACATATAACACTATAAATGCGAAAGGAATTCCCCTTACAATGAAGACAAAATAAATGTTAATTTTAGGAAAGTCCGATGGATTTGCTTTTTAATACATACAATCAACAGAATATTTCTAATATAATTTCTCAAAACAAAACCAGAAAGCAAATTAAATCAAATCAACCAGACGGTAAACACCGGCAGGCTTTGTCAATTTCACCATTTGTTTATTTCAAAAACAGAGTACTTTTCGCGCATGTGCAGTCGTTTGAAACCTGTGCTAGTCCACATAATGACCAGTTAAACGATTTACAGGTATTCGCCGACGCTCGTAATCTACATATTCTAAGTGAAGTCTCCAACTCCTAACTTCTCGAAATTACGTCTGCTCCGTGCTCCGACTCTCCCAATCTCCTTCTCTTTCTCCTCCCTCCTCTTTTCCGTTTCTCCTATACTTACATTTCCTCCTGGCCATTTTGTGTCTAGAGTCGGATCTTCTTTGGGTGCATTTTAACGTAAACTGGCAAGCGCTGCCAGATATGTATTAATGAACCTTTTTCATACATATGGAATGAATGTCCTAAACTTATATAATTTTGAACGCTCAATTCAAGCGTGGGCTCGAAATAGGACATTACGTTTTCGACTTACTTAGCAGATAACGCAATATAAAGATTCCACGGTTCGTGTCAGATTTACGGAAGGACGCGCAAAGAAAATCCAAGTCTACATAATGACTAGTTAAACGATTTATTCGTCGACGCTCGGTAACTACATAGCTAAGTGAAGTCTCCAACTCCCAAATTCTCGAAACCACGTCTGCTCCGTGCTCCGTCTCTCTCAATCTTCTTCTCTTCTCTTTTTCTCACTCTTTTTCAAGGTATCAATTCCCATGGCTTATATACTAATTTCTTATTTTACATGGATCCAATGCTGCCTATTGCGCGATCCTAATCTACATCATAATAGCAGATCACCCGACGTCTCCGTTTCACGTTTTTCTCCCAAACTACAACGAACTGTTGACAACTGACAGGATAACGTCACTGGTCGTTAAGTGCGATCGCGAGTTGCTGAGCACTCGGAACTACTCGACAATATGGAGCTTGCGGAGTTAGCCGAGGATTGCCGATTGAGTTGCTGAGTGCTATTCTTCCCTTAGTACCATTTTCTTCCTCTGATTTTTTAAAATTATTATTTCATTTTATATTCATGTAAGTGTGGGGATAAGAATTTCACACAGAATATAGTACAAAGAGAGGTTCTATAAATCGTGAATACTAATATCTTATCATGGCTCAATGATTGATATGACGGGTATCAGCTAGTTACTTATAATTGTGTAGTTAATTTCTTTACCTCGGCGTTATACAAAGAGGCCGCCACATTACCCAAGAACTATTGGCCCACAACAGGTTACAAAATGCGACTTCATAAAATATCTTTTTAATCTTTATGTCGGACACGACAGTATCTTACTATAGAGAGATTGACAACTTAATAACCATTACCTAAAAGAGTCATCTACCGGGTACCTGTAAATCTTGGACCCATATATATATAATATGATGTGTATGATGGGACCAAGTCTAAACGGAGCCATGCGCTCAATATAACCGATTAACTGGATTGATTTTGATAAATTCAAACAGTTGGAAGTTGTGAACTTGTGAAAGGGAGCAACCCCCATCCCCGTAGCATTATGCTGTATAATAGTAATGAGGTTTTTTCTGACTATCATCGATTTCCGACTTTTTTTTAGAGCCAACATTTTAATGCGGACGGCTCCCTGGATTCCACACCATACCTTCAGAGTTTTCACTTAATGACTGCTTAACCCCTGCTTTAAGCTCCAACTAAACCGTTGTGATACAGATAAGTAAACCACCCAACGTAAAAAGGGCAGTTGATTTGCCTGATTTTGAGTAAATATGTCATGGCACATTGCAAAGTCATTAATTAATCTGCTTTCATTAGCCTTCCAGATGATGTTCAAAGTACAAGCATGAGACTGGATAGTCTAACGCGCGGGCGTGCACAGTCAAAGACTCAATATTTTTATGTTGATTGCAGTGGTTCGCTCAATTTTGAAATTATATTTTTATTCGCTGAATGCATTTTAGCAGAAAACAAAATACAGTTCCAAATGCTTTCATCACATACTAGTACAACAATTCATCTCGGTTTACCGCAAAGTTATAATCGCTTCGCAAGCCTTGTTTGAAAAACTGATATGCTCGAGGATTTCCCGGATTAAATGTCTTATAATTTTTTATTAATCTGTTCCGCCAATACTGACATGTACATGTACAGCATTTGTGTCGCTTTCGTGTCTATTGGTACACTTGGTCATCTGCTCGGCACAAAAAAATTCAACAAGCCGGAGGCTACTTTTCACTATCTCTGTATCCCTTATATATATTTATATATATGTAACCAGGTACTGGCACACCCTTGTGTGCATGACGCGACGTGTTGTTTTCCTCTCGAACCCTGGTAAGAGACAGTCAAACGTCATCTCGCTGAGAGTGAGATCATCTTTATATCGTTAAGGGCTCAATCAAGACGACCACTGAGAAAAGAGACAAGGAGCACTAGTATCGATCTAACGTGCAAACTGTGAAGTGGGCATTTCATGGAAAATCCGTTCCTCTTAGAGATAAAAACTACCGGAGATAATTAGTGAAATGTAGCACATGAACATGCACGGTAGGCAGGCTTTAGTAAAAAATAGGTATTAAAGAAAAAACAGGTGCTCTATAGTAAGAGGAGTATAGTCAGATTTTGTGATGTGGAGAGTGACTTTCTGAACCAATCAGATATCGATATTAAATCATCAAAAATATTTTACAAAAAAAAACAAATTAAATGGAAAAATGATTTTTAATATCCTACACTCGAGAACAAAAGTAACATATAAGAAAGAATTAAAACCGGAAATATTCATCTATAGATTTAAGCAGAAGTGAAAAATCACTACCGAATAAATTTCAAATGGGAATTTTACCGTGAGAGAACTGCCAAATCCATAAAATGAAATAGAAGTTGAAAAAGACTTTTTACTTCGGTACACTGGTTATAAAGAAAAATACATTAATTTCATAATAAGCTTAGTCTTAAAACTGATAAAGCCATTTCTTTGTAATACCTGTATATAATAGAAACACATAAAAGACAACTTGCAAAGTTTATAGCCACAAAATATAAGACAAGAACGCTTATGCACGTTAAGTTTTTAATTAGCCCAGAGGGCTGGATTTTTTTCAAGCAATAAAGTGGGTAACACGACATTATAATAAATGTATGTATGATGAATGAATGAACTGATAAACGAACATCCCCCTCCTAGTAGTGGTAATGTATGTATGCGCCAGTACGTATGTATAGTACTCACTTACCGAGTATTAGGCCCTATAGTTTAACATCATATTCCAAGTCATAATTTAAGATCGCTTGGTCAATTACTATGCTATTTAATGCTTTTGAGACATGGTCACCTCTCCCTACAGGTCTATGGACTTAATGAATGGAAAAGTCTTTCAGTGTTCGCCTACTTGAGGTTCATATAGAGACTCATGACAGTTTTAATACAAGAACTTAAATGTTATATTTTTGATAACTTTCATAACTCATTGAGATGGATTTTAAAACTGACCTTTCCCATTTTGCCTTAGATGTATCATCTTAATGTTTTAGCTGTTTATTTTACACTCTAGGGGTTAGTAAATAACAGATTACCGGTATCATTGAGCCAACGTATATGGACTGAATTGCAATTATAATGATTTAATTGGTCACGAATAGAATGAGACGATACATCTACATTTACTAGCGATATACCCTGAACGTCATGTCTGTGTGCATGCCCGATTCTCCTTTTTCAATTTTTTCTGTCTCCGTGGGGCTCTAATATTAACCTCGCATGCGTCAGGTCTGATACTTAGCGTACATGTACAACACGTGCGCGTTAAAGGTTTTGTTTGACACTATTACATGTGTGCATGTGAGAAATGTATTATCCGGTCACGACCATGTAAGACTCACGAACATAAAATGACGGACAGATATTACTCTGTTACTAGAGGCCATCTGAATGATGCCATTAATTTCACAGAAACACATGTATTCTCGCTGGATAAAGTAAAGGAAAGTGTAAAGAATGAGCCAGCGACACATTTGTGAATACCTAGTGAAATATCAATCTGACCTTGATAGAGGGTAGATAAAGTTGAAAATTTACCTTAAGCTAGTATGTGTATATCTGGCTGACACGGATCTATACAGCAAATTTAACCTCTGTAATTACCGGTACATGTAATTTCAATGTTCCGTGAGTAGACCGTCATACTGAAACTCGCCTCCTAGTTTTACTAGTATAAAATAAACACTGATGTGAAAGTAAACATGATTATTTTGAAGAATCAAAAAGACGCTGTTCTTTCTGCACTGAATAATATCATGTATGACAACAAAAGGATGTGGTTTTGTTGAAGAAGGACGAAGGAGATCGATATGCGGCCGCGCAAAAAGGTTGCGTCAAAATATTCTATATTTAAGAATCATATTAGCTAAATTATATTGTGTGACGTCGATTTATTATCAAAATGTCAGAGGGGCATTCAAAATGGCAAAGGATTGTCAGTTTGAGCACGTAATGCAGCAATACTAAAACAAAGAATCTGAGGATGCATGTATGACACTAACATCCTGTGCATCACCTGAGCTTACGCTGGGCTGTCTCACAAATCTCTTTCTTTTCTTTTCTTTTTCTTTATTTAAAAACGGGATATCTATTAATAATGATTTTTTATGATATTGAACGTACCGTATACCCTGTGTATTTTCTCAGCTGCATGCCTCCAGAAAACAAACCATGGCAAAGTTTGCTTAATTTGTAATCAAAATGTGTATTTCAGATACCAATTACAATAAGCTATCTTTGCTACAGTACTCCCCGGTGCAGATGTTCTCCCTTTGTACAGTGCATGCCAAATAAAGGTGTGGGGTACTGGGATACTAGTACACTGTATACTACCATATAGCAAATTCAAGACAGAAAGCGCATTTTCTTCCTCACATGTTCCGACTATGATTAACAATTAAATGATGCACACGTATAAGTCAAAATCGTTGAACTGTCTAAAGACACTGGCACTCGATTAAAATCTCATACTAAAGTAGTGACGTATGGCATAAAAATAACAACAATCTATTAGAATATTGTTTAATTTCTGGCACATTCAATCATGCACTTGATTGCCTGACCACTCTTTGCCATCTCAAAGGCTTCCAGCGTCTGTTCTAGGTTAAACCGGTGGGTGACCATCGGCTTAATGTGCACTTGCCCTGAAGACACCAGCTCAATGGCCACAGGGTAGCTGAAATAGTACTTATAACGTTGACATATACAGGTAATGATAAAGTTTCTTAAGCGAATCAAATAAAAAATTCATGTACATGTAATTATATAAAGTTGGACAATATTTCACTGGCCCGAGAGTAGAATCAATAGAAATCAGTAGAATACAATATTTAGAATCCTCTTAGTTACAGTGAAAAAAGTGAACTGACCAATGAATTTAATATAGAGTAGTGATGTTCATGCAGCCTAACCAAAAGCCTTGTTTTATAATAACCCCATTTACTGATTTATTGTATTTACCATGTTTATACAGTAGCTATACCACTTTTACCAGTGATTGGGAAACAATCACGATTTTATTCAACTTTGACAATATCACAGTCATTTCATGTCACAAAAAGCAGTGCAGCAAATCACTGTGGTAGGACACCTTGCTTGACAGTGCTCCTCAAATTGCTGCAGAGTTACTACAAACTTACTCATTGCAGTAGCGAAGATTAGTGTGAATGTCAATCTCCTTGGCAACTGCAAGACCCAGGGGAATGGTGACGTCAGGAGGACCTATACCGACTATCTGCACGATGCCGCCCGGTCTTGTGGCCTGAAATATTCATGGATGTTAGATAAAAAAAAAAGAAATGGGCGTCGTTTTCGTCATGCTGCCAAGAGGATATTCATTACATTCGGTTTTTATTTTTACTATGAACTGTCAGAAATTACATAGGAAAATGCATGGTTATTATGGTTGGAATATCCATATGGACGTGAATAATAATTCATTAAATATGTACACTTTTAAAACATACAGCTTGATGCTTAATCACGGGCACTCACTTGTGCTAATTCAGATCATGCTTCGTGTTCAAACTGAACTGTTTTTTAAATTATTTTTTACTTTCAACCTTAAACAATATTATAACATTTTGTGATACTCTGTGAATTAACTTAATCATGCAACCAGAAACATATTGGTCATTATTTAAACATTGCAATCACTAGTACCTTTCGATGTGGAATACCTTATACAGGGACAAACTCTTACTGGATGACATACATGTATTACATGAAGTAGGCTATATGTATACAAGTTCTGTATACAAGTAGGCCTACCATATAGGTCTTATTCTATACAGATAGATTAATCCGATGAAATATGACTTATAATATAATTTGACGGGAAGGGATATTAAAACGTGTAAGGAAGCTTCAGCAGCTAGGGGTACCTGTACTCGCCAGGAACAAAGTAGATTAATTGATTTTAAAACTCAACTGACGAAATACTGACTACTACGTACATGTACTGTAGGGTTGCTACAAAGCTACAAAACAGAACACGCACAATGCAACAGCGGCAGCAGTACTTTGAAGTATTGATAACAATGAACCATATTCAAATATACGTATTTACATGAAACCCAAGTTGCAGTCCTGACTCCACTCCAGTGCATTCCACTGTGACACGTGGTAGACATCCCATCGCGACCTTGACCTTGTCAGCTACAGCCTCGGTGTCGTCCTTGGGGTCAATCAGGATGGTATAGTTGGCTCCAAAAGATTTTGCGAATTCCAACCGCGATTCCGAAATGTCTGTTGCATTGTATATAAAAAATATGTATATAAGGTTTATAATCTTAATTTTAAGATCGAATGTGTCCGGCCACTTTGATATATTCTTTCGTTTTACAAAGAATGGTGTTAAAAGTAAGTGGGCTATAACTGACTTATCAAGGATCAAAGTAGACTAAAAATTGGCTGTAAAATGCAAAATTAATTTCCGGACTGAACATATTTTGTGTGTGTAGTTATATGCTTGTGCGTGACAGATACAGACCTGTTATGCAGATTGCAGTTGCCCCCATTGCTTTGGCTGCCACAAGCACCATTAAACCAATAGGACCTGGAAAAGCAAGCATACATGTACTATTATACCACTAGTAAAAGGTGACAAATAGAAATATACGTTTTTCAACACTGGCTTTCCTTTAACGAGTCTTCTATTTAATTTTTAGGATCTCTCTCTCTTTCTCTCCCGCCCCCCCCTCTCTCTCGCTCTCTCTCTCTCTCTCTCTCTCTCTCTCTCTCTCTCTCTCTCTCAGGGGTCATATACCTGCTCCTGTTATTAGTACGGTGTATCCAGGCCCTATCTGCGCACGCCTACAAGCATGAACGCCCACAGAAAACGGCTCCATCATGGCGCCCTCTTCAAAGCTCATGTTGTCTGGAAGTCTAGAACATTGAATGCAAGGTGATTGTGTTCTTTCGTACACACATCTACATATCTATCATTTGGATATTTGAATGTAGGTGATAAACAAAGGAATGTGTTACATGTGTTCATTCTGCACTATAGAGTATATATCTTACATGTACAAAAGTGAACGCGAACATTAATTTAAGTTCTACTATAAAAATGTTCACTGTTCAGGTTTCTGTAATATATAATTATCACAAGTGGCATATTTAATTAGAAAAATAAGTGAATAATAAGAAGCATTATATTTCTCCAGCACAGTATTACTGTACTTGTGGCAGAATTTGGCGTTGTGGCAGTAAAATCTTCTCAGCGTTCCATCGTCCGGAGGAGTGGCACAGAAGGTCAAGTCATCACATAGATTGTACCTCCCTTCCATACAGACGCTACACTGCATACAGGGGACGCCGGGCTCTATGGCAACGCGATCACCTGAAGAGGAAGAGCTTCAGTAAATAGACAAAATAAAGTTAATCAGATGGATAAATCGATAAGGGGTCCCTGATATTATCATTCATCTGTTATAAAACCAGCGAGCCTCGCGGTTTTTAGATCGTAGCTTTTGAATGAGTCCCATTCTCTTACTTTGCTGTGTTATTATGATTTTATCTACGTTTGTTTCACGTCTTTCGCACGCGTGCAAATCTGTAAATGTATACAAACTCGTAATAGTTTACAGTAACAATAGTATTAAGATTGAAGCATATACATGTACATGCACACAAATTGGAGAATATTGTCAATCAACAATTGGAAATAACACATATACATTTATGACATTTTGCATTCAGGTTTGACTCACATTATTTTCAGTGAAATAGCATCCTCAGGGGAAGGGGATAGGTTGAATACCACAGTGCAAGTACTGGTACCTTTAAGAGCCGTTCACCAAGATCCCTTCCCATTGGACGCCCTTTAATCCCGCCCTTTACCCCTAACTAGTTCACATTGCTATACCGTCGGTTTAAAGAGACACTTAGAGATCGAAAGAACAGATGGTACATGAAACGCTATACTTACCCACTTTCAGGCTGGTGACCCCCTCCCCTAGGGCTACCACGGTCCCGCTGCTCTCGTGGCCCAGGATTAAGGGGTTACGGACCACGTATACCCCTATGATACCCTTCTGCCAGAACTTCACGTCCGATCCGCAAATGCCAACAGAGTGCATCGCCAGCTGAACCTCTGTTTAAAAAATGGTTATAAAGCAACTTTGCTTTTAAAGAATTATAATGCATGGTTTATTATTTGATTAAAAAGCAATGCTGTGTCCTCAAAATAAATATGCATTATACAGAATCATCTCAGCTTTATCAATACATTTATTTGTACCTGTACACGTAAATCTCATACAGTGACAATGTTTACCTGCATGTCTGTCCCGCACCCCATGCACCTACCAGCTGTAATTAAGCCACTACATTTGCAGCTGTATCGTAATAACAGTTGTGTAAACACATATCACAAGACAAAACACATTAAAACAATTAATGTGATCATAACCGTTTTATGAAAAAGAGCACGTGTATCTTTACCTCCCCTTTTGGGCTCAGGAATGTCAGTTTCCTCCTGCAAAGAAGGACAACGCCCATGAATAATTGTGACATTAATCCCTCATTTACAACATTGTCAACAGAGAGAGAGAGAGAGAGAGAGAGAGAGAGAGGGAGGGTAGGTAAATATTACCAGCCGAAGGTCTCCCACAGAGCGCAAAATCGCCGTTAAATTTTTGTCAGCCATCTTTTGATTAATATTGAGCTGCGATGTCTGGCCAGGGGCCTCTGCAAAAACCTGGGTTGAGCGAGACTTGTCCAGGTCATCGATATAGATAAATAAAATCGACATATTACGTCTAGGATCAGTGTAACATTTATCCTTATCTCTTGGTAGAAGATATTTGGTGTCACAGCAGTTCAAGGGCAGTGTCGTGATATTTAGGACCCACAGATCAAACCTTTTACATTTGGGTCACTTATATCAACAGAGTTGGATTGGGAAAAGGAAATGGAAAGGGCCTAACCTCTGATACAGTTTGTATCAGGGCCACACTAAAAAATACTATACAAAATTTACACCGCTTTTCAACATTGTGTAACAGACTACTAGCGCATCCTGTGGTCAGAGAGTAGATAGACCTTATCTCGTTGAAAATGGTTTCCCTTCATTGGAAAGTTTTGTCAAGATGTGTCATTGTTGATGAATGTCATTTCAAGCTTGGATTCAGTAACATTCCCAGCATAAGCCTGGAGATGCTGCCTCGTTATTGCGCAATTGAGGTGAACCTAAGTTAACGCCAAGGGTTCAAAGTAAGGTCAGCGTCGTAAATTATTCTTAGGTTTGCCAAGTTTTCAACCTTGAGGTGGAGCTCAAAATGGAAGAAAAATATTGCAATAATTGTATATATATATATATATATATATATATATATATATATATATATATATATAATGTACAATGTATATACATGTATGTGGTCATCAGAATTGACATTGATCTCATATTCTATTTCATCTACAACAATATCGTTGCGAGTTACGAACTTGTAGGTTCCCTTTTCCCTTCAAAACCAATATACAACCGCAATATTCTCGTCGCACCTGCGGAAGGACGGTAAAGGGGAAACGCTTTACAAATTTAAATTGGGTGACCTTGTAGTTTAAGCACTGACAAGCACTGTTGAAAGAGGACACTTTATCGAACAGCTCAAAATATACAATCTGACCAACGACAGGTGATTAACTGGTGAATTCAAATTTATGTCTTTAACTGGACCTGTATGTATCTTTGCCCGATTTCACAAAAGAGCTAAAACTGAGAGTTGGTCAAACAGAAACCGGGAGATAAAACTTTATGGACTTGCAGGCTAGGGTACTTGCATAGAATCCTGCAAAAAAAAAAGCCTTACCCATCGCGCAAACTATGTTTTTCTTCTGAATTCATTTTTATTAATTATTTGTTATACCTCTCCTAGGGGTGTGCATTTGCTTTTCTCTAACCTGTGTGTATGTGCACGCGCGCGTTTGTGTGCGTACAGTATGTGTGTACTGTGTGTCTTACATTGTACATCTGTAAACAACTCTTACCTTGTATACAAACACAGCAGAAAATTGTAAAAATTCCCTCTCTCTGCCCTTTGACCGCTTGAACCCCCCTCCCCCCCCTCCCACCTCCAATGCATCATTATCTTTTAAAAGGGGCAAGCACGTGCACCTGTACCGACCAAATGACAGGCGAATCAAGAGTTTGTTCAGGTAATGCAGCCTGTCCAAAATAACACAGCTAGATTACTGCACAGTGAACCCACTGTCTTCACATACAAGCCTTGCCATTTCTGACGTCAGAATCACTGCAAATCACGTCCGACACAGCTGATATGGCCAGCTTTAGTATTCAGTAACATATTATAAGTGATTTAAGTCATTCTTCAACTACAGTGAACCCTGAGTACAAATTGTTCGTTTGTATTGATAGAACATTTATTTTTCTGTGTGTATGTGTGTGTTAGCACTTACATTCGAACAGGGAGAGCGCCAAATGGGCTTGAAAATATTTTTAAACCTTAATTGTATCCTAATTTTTTTATTCTACTGTACAATTACAGCTCGCCTGCAGTTTTCTCTGTATCTTACTGTTAAAACCAAAAATCTATACAATGAAGTTCATGTAAGGGAGCCTTTTATATTCTATTCCATAAAAGATGTGTGAAGTAGTGAAATCCCTTAATCCCTCAGAAAGTAGTGTCCATGCACACTGAATCCTCATACTGATGCCAAAGACATTGTTCTATGCAAGCGTGCAGTATCTCGCGTGCAAATGAAGGATTAAGCTATCGGTGTTGTTGTTAACTTCGATAAGACCTCTTTATCTCGACAAGATAATATTTATGTATGACAATGGTTATTAACACAGTAAGGATGACCGCGTGGCCACTCCCAGATGTACATTGCACAAAAGAATGCAAACCGCCCTAGAGAATGGCTTACATTTACAGGGTCACGACGGGTCAGGTTCATTATAAAAAAGAAAGAAAATCGGTGTACTTAAGTTCAGATGAATCCATGGCAGTCTACTTGGATAAAGCAAGTGCCTGTTTTTTAAGCAGGAGATAAGAAGAGAGAGAGAGAGAGAGAGCATTTATTCTCGTGTACTTTCGACTTTAGGGCCAGGGCTTCGGTAATTGCGGGGTACTGACATGCGTAATTTACCAGTCACACGAGAACCCTGATTCTACAATCGGTAGTCGGGTATCGTATTGTATCCCGTCCAACGCAGGTCTCAAAACATTATCGTACATGTACCATCAACGCTGAATCTCACGAGACTTGGTTTCATAAGCCTACACGTAACAACATTAAAGATGTCAAATTTTCATAATGTATGAATGTATGAGTGTGTTTTATGATTGGACCACGCGGGTATTAAAAAAACGCAGGGGGTCTGCAAACAACAAGAAAGCCACACGGCGGGTGTGAGATTGCACCGAGGTTCAAAGGGTTCCGTATGAACAGTATGCAACCGAAAAAACTATTTTGCCCGACCTGCGCGTGAGCGCGCGCTTGTGTGTCAAACAAACACACACATCTTTTCCAACGCAGACGGACACCTCTAATTACACACGCTCGTTCGAGTCTACGGATAGGATGGGGGGGGGGGGGGGTCTCATTTAACATTACTTGTTACGCGACAACTGCATGCTATGCAAGAACTAAAACCATTAGTTGCTGCTGTAATTAATCTTAACCTCACTTTTTTTTGTTTTTTTTGTTTTGTGCTCTTAAGGACAGACAGTCGGGTTTAGTAGCGCCATTTGAAGAGTGGAGATGGCGTCAAGGAATATACAGCCCTGTCTGTCTGTACGAGCCCAGATGACAAATAATGGCCTTGACTCGTTTCAAATATAAAGAAATGTTTGTTTTATAAAGACACCGCGAAATATATTTGACGGGGTCGATAATTTTTAAGCGGAGTTAACTGGTAATTCTTTTTTAGATATTGTTAATAGTCATTTATAACTGTAATATCTGATTTCAGAAATATTGCATAATTTCCCAATGCGCCACTGCTTACATGCCATTTACTTTTGATAGTATATTTAGCTGTGTCTGAACACGCAAAGACATGCGGTAAGTGTTTTTTTGTGTGTATAAAACACCTTAGTAGAAAACCACGAGGAAATGCCAATGTTGTTATCATTTGTTGTGGCATTTACATTTGACAGTATATTTAGCTGTTTCTGAACACGCAAGGACACTCGGTAGATGTTTGTTTGTGTGTACAAAGTTTCTCAGTAGAAAGTCATTCAGAAATACCAATGTTTCATGCATTGCGATTTATAATAAATGAGGGAACCATCAATGCCGTTTGTTCGTGCACTTTAAGAAGGAGACATTCGTGGAATATTTCAAGAAAATAAATTTAGAAATGTTGTCCTCATCGTTGTGCATACATGAACATGTAGCACGCGAATATCTAAAATTCAATAATGGTACATATTCTTTATGGCTTTTTAGTATATTTCGTGTTTTGTTTTATATCTTATAGTAGGCTATGTATGTTGAGGAGCATATGGTGTTGACTTGTAGGTTAGACAAAGATCTGAAGTGACACTATATTCCCGAGATTTGTACAATATCACTAGTGACTGCTTTGTCATCACATGATGTTGAATTTATAAAAAGACTAGCGACCTACGTGTATTATGCCAACAAATTAAGAGAAGATTTTGTTTGGATTAGTAAATTTGTATTATGTTTGGAACATAATGTTGTTGCCGTATCGACCAGCTCATCATTATTGTAATAGTAATACTTTTGGCCGTCAGGCCTGAACTACAGTTGAATAAACTTGGCACTTTACTGTAAGGGTTATATAGTGTATGGTACGCTGGTAAAGATGTTATCAAATATAGGGAGAGGTTTTATAATAATAATAATAATAATAATGTTTATCGAGATATGGCAACCCCGAGTGCTGAAGTTATATATTTTATTTCAATCACAAGTCAAAGGAAGCCGATACATGATAAGGCATTGCTAGAATTCTACTCGTTTGAACGCTTGAATTTTTGCAGTGTGTCGTTCATTAATTTCTGAACACAGAGATCTGAACCACTTTTTATGTGAGTAGGGATGATGACAATATTATATTTTCACACTATTTAGAATTATTTAACTTTCGGCTTTGTCCCTTCTCAGGGATCACCACTTTTCTCTTACCTCCTGCATATCCTCTTTTATAGGATCCATGAATATGCCATGAAAATGCCGTAGGGTTTTTCCAATAGTAGGCCTACATCAATACTGCAATAACAATAAGGTCAAACTAATAAACGTGTAATTCACCAGCTTTTACCTAGGTATATTTGGGTAGGCATTTCATGTATCACTCTTCCATTTTGCTGGACATGACTAGGGTGCCTCACGACACACGTCAGTGACAGCGATATAAAGCACATGTCATCTTGACTTCTGCTCATATTTGTCATACAGGGCACACAACCTGAGCTGCCTACCTTTATTTGTGCATTCTATACATAATTTGTTGAACTTTGAGAGAAATGTAGAAACTTTTTTTTCAATGTGTCAAAGGTTCCTAGGGTTCAAGCATAATTATTTAGTATACTGCTTTAATCTGGTTTAATCCCGGAAACAGGCTGGTGATTCACCAACGTTGTTATTATTATTTGATAAAGGCAACATAAAACAAGTCTTCAAAAAGCAGATACTGAATACATATCAAGAGTTGTGATAGGAATATTGTCGTAGACACAGGAAACATATACGGATCTGGATAAAATCGTATTTGCAAATTCAAGTGTGTTTAACCAAATGCTTGAATAATGCACATTGGTCCAGTTAATGTTGTAAACAATGTGTGACAAATAGCAACGACGTGTGACATGTACATTTATGTCTCTATCGCTGTCGTGTTTAGTTGCAATTCAAAATTCAGTCCAATTAATAAACCTCCTCCTTATTTTCTGGCTGGATAACGATTTTTTCTAAGCTTTACCTTATTGCAATGACAGCACTGGTATATACATGTATTTTAGCAAGACTAGCGTGTCAGTATTTAGAGGGGGGACATGTAGCAGAAAACTGTTAAGCATAAACTGTAAATTTAGCTAAATTACAACATATATGAATAAAAACAACAGAAAAAAATTGTCATTAAGACTCCCACGAAACTGGGACTATAAACCCATCGCCTCAAAAGTATTTCTGATTTTTAATTTCGTACAGCGAACACCTGAAGTACATGTATAAAGTCATGAAATCCTCTATTCGTCGCGCAGAGACAGCTAGTGCGCTCCACAAAACGCCGTCGTCCGATCAGTCTATCGCATGGAAATGCATCGTTAACAGTATGCATGTTTGTAATGGACCTACCTGATGGAAGGCTTGTTCAGATTGATAAAACCATTTACCCTTCCACAAACAAAGGTTGGGTTTTCAAGAGAGCTTCGCGATTAGTTTTGATGTATGTTAATGTTATGGCTCAATACTTTATGTGTTATTTTTGTTTTTATATGCAGCTGGCGTGTCACATGTGATGCAGCTAGTGGGGTCCGTCTTGGGTTAATCACTCTAAAATTGGTCGTATAGGTAAATCTTTAAGTCAACAGATCTAGATCAGTATAACTACATAAATACATTATCTTTCCTCCCTTACAAGATACGGATGTCACACTATAAATCTCAATCAAAATCCAGGGACATTTTGAATCCAAATACGCAAGACAGGAATCGTGCGTATATACATATCTTTAACTTGACTAGGGAAGATAAAGACAAAACGATGTGAACAGTCCTGTTTCACATAAAAACTTCAGACTTGCCTTAACTTTGACCCCAAATAAATAAGTAGCAATGTACTCAGTGAAAAATATATATGTTATTATACCGGTATATTATACTACATAAAAATTAATAATAAATTCAATTAAAATTTTGGTTCTGTGTTGTAGAAAGAAAGGCAACGCCATTGCTTTAGATTAATTATTTCTTTTTTGTGGACTGCTGCACACGTACCAGTAACCTGGCCTGAAACAGGACAGAATTTTTGTCTAACAGTTACGAACAACTTTCGTTCCAAAGGTCTTTTGTAAAACCAACTCTGAGTATTGATTATTGCAAAGCAACTCTACAAAATGTCAATATGCCCAGCTGTAAATAGTACGGTTTTGAACAAACTTTAATTTACAGTAAAGCTCTAAAACGGAATAACTGCCAGTGTAAATTGACCAAATTTGCTGTGAATGAAGCAATATGATGTAAAGTAAAATATATAGGTGATATAAAGTTAAATAGTGGATCTGTTGTCCCAAAAGAGGGGTATGATATTGGACTTATATTATGTCATGTTTCCCTTCATTTTTCACTTATTTTTTAAACACTAACGAATTCAACGTTATGTTTGTTTACAATAGTGTTTTGCATGTTTAAATCATTCTTGCTGTCTTACACTTACCGTGGCAGAGTGATTCTGTAATTATTTTGGAGAGATAGGCAAACGTATAAGCATATTACGTGTCCCCAAGCGAAAAATAAGTGGACTTTCAAAATTTTTTCATTTGGTTTCCACATGTTCAATCAGAATAAACTCCCAGAGTAGTGAGGTTCGAGAAATGGCGTTTGCGTGTCCAACGATGTTTTTTTTCTGTAAGGTAATAACTTTCATGCCAACGTAATTAACGAGGCCTTGATTGAACATCACGCTTAGCTTAACATGCATGATCACACTCACGCAACAAGTTATACGGTATAAAAACATGACTTCTATTTGCTGATCCTAATGAATAAAAAGTTTTTCTTTGTAGCTTTTCCTTATAACCAAAGAGTGGTGTGTGAATCTACGTGCTTGGCATAAAAGAACCGAGGTCTGATTCGGGGTTAAAGCTTCATTGTTTGCCTCCGAACAGTCTGAACCCCCAGGGGCGCGTTGGGGTTGCCGTTTGACAGGTCCCAGACAGGATAATATAACAATATGAACAAATTTGGCATACATAGAAAAGGTTAGTATTGCCAGAGAATAGAATGTTCACAAAAAAACAATATGTTCTTGTGCTGCACTTGAATTAACATACAATGCACATAAAGGAAACGACTATAGCGTAGTGTCGTGATACATGACTTTTCAGTTTTAAATTTATCTCTTTTTTGATCTCTTCAATCATCTTAGACGTGCCTCTCCTAACAGTAACAAACGATTTCAAGGGTCTCTGTTACGAGTCACCTTCCTATCTTGCTTATATATATATCCTTTATCAGTATGTTTATCTAAAACGACAGGTGATGCCGAAAAACTACTTTTTATCAAGATCAAACAAAATAACTCCACTGTTTTTTTCCAAATTAAGACCAATTTCGCAATAGATATATCTAAACTCCAGTGCCTGCAATTGCAAATAATTCGATTTGAAGTACCTTTTTCAATTTTATCTGTCTCTCGATATGCCTGGAATGGGACTACAATGGCTTATGCTAATGACATGGAGCAATTTATTTCATAACTTTCTTTGACCACTGCATATGGCTTTTCCACAAGTGCTATTATGTCCTACTTGACTAGCTGTGATAGGTAAATAATGGTTATTGTGGTCCATTTTCCGGGCACCTAGTCCTTACACGGGTATTGTAAAATGCATATTAGATCAGTATTCCACTGAACTTATCGGTTGGAAGACGTAAGATATATTTCACCGGCAAAGGCCAACCAAAGGCCAACCATCGTTGAGCATTCCAGTGAAAACAAAGCCACCGTTTAAGCAACCTAATCCATTCTATAATTAAAGCACCTTTTCAATAAAGCCATTCACATACTACCAGGTATATAAACCTATCCCAGGTTTGACGCTGTCAGAGTGCCGGGACCTAGTTGTGTAGCCACTCCAGTTACAGGTGAGTTTCCGTATTTTTTATTTATGAAATAGTAATTGCCTAGTTGATCTTTGTTGTCCTTGGGCCTAGACTGGACTATCCCTGGACTGTTTTGAGTTAACTTTGAGGCAATATGCTTGACTGGATTTGGAATAGTGCAAGATGCACGACATATCGCTTGCCTCTCCAATTTTATTTAAAAGAAAATAACGCACTTTTAAAATTGTTGATGTGTGTTTGTCAATACTTTTAAAAAATATATACAAACGCTCGGAGCGTGTTACAATAAAACGATAGTTGTGTATTAAACAGATGCCTCTCAGAAAAAAAGCGTGCCTTGTGCAGATTGAAATCCATTCTCGTAAAAAAATTTTTCTGACAAAAACAATAACTATCTCTTTTGGATATATATATACCATGGTATTGCGGTTACCGTATTGTAATGTAGACATTTATGGACATTTTGCATTTCCACACAAAATTAAAACTTTTATTCTTTTTATAAATGCCGTCTCTATATGAAAAAGGGTTATTATTTAATAAATAGAATATAACTGTAACATGAATATTCCTCGGGATTTTTATCCATTCTGTTTTTCGTCATTTGCAGCAAGACCATGTGGATCCGTTTAGCAGTTTTGGCTCTTGTGGTGGTGGCCACACAAGCTGCTTCAAGTAAGTTACCTGTACCATACTTAACTATCACATCATATCCGTGACAGATAGGGACTTTGCGTTCATTTTTCTATGCATATGTTTACGTGACCAATCACGGTTTGCAAAATGAATGTCTTACTGGTTTTTATAAGACTGGATAAATCTCCTTTTACTGCTGCATTAGTTTTTTTTTTTACTTATTTAAAAATTTACCTTTCACTGTTCTGTAGCTCCACATTGGGAATGTATGCGTAAACTTCCGACTTTCATTAAACATATCGTTTGCTTTAGATATCAGATATGAAAACTAAAGTATTTTCGAGTGTTGAACACAACGCAGCAATGATTGAATGAAATTCTGCGTGATTTGAGCAATTTCAAAATTGTCAGTTTTTAAGATTTCCTGACATGACTCTCATATGTTTTTCTTTGTTCCAGGAATCTATTACAGGAACCCCTGCAGACCCAACCCTTGCCTTAACAACGGCCGTTGCCGATCCCTTGGCGGAGATAGATTCGAATGTGTTTGCATTCCAGGCCTAAGCGGTGTCATCTGTCATTTGGGTGAGTACCCCATAATGTGACGCCTTCGTCACACCTACAGCATTGAATAGTCGAACATGTGCATGTTTTTGTTCATTAAGTCTGTGGTCTACAATATGAAATTAAATGAACGAGCGAGCGAGCGAGGGAGTGGGAGAGTGAGTGAGTGAGTGAGTGAGTGAGTGAGCGAGCGAGTGAGTGAGTGAGTGAGTGAGCGAGTGAGTGAGTGAGTGGGTGAGTGAGTGAGCGAGTGGGTGAGTAAGTGAGTGAGTGAGTGGATATGCGAAGGGAAGAATATATGATAAATGTGCCCACATGCTTTGCTAGAATTGCATATTTTGAAATGATTATTAATCGAATCACAATATAAAGGTGCGAGATCATGGATTAAAAATATATTGATAAATACCAAAATATATATCCTTTTTATCATTTTAATAATTCGCATGAACCCCGAGGTAAAGTTGATCAGAAATTGCTGTTTTGAAATTCAGACAGTATTTCATCCTAAAGTTCAGTTGTAAGTTCATGTACTGTTATCCTAGCAGTCTATACACTGACACAATGCATGGCTGGTACTCTTCGCAGATGCTGATGGCAACCCAGCCTGTCCAGGCAAGTGCGTCGGCAAGCCAGGCCCACCAGGCGCTCCAGGGCCCAAGGGTCCAGCTGGTGCTCCAGGAGTTGGTGCTGACGGTGCTGATGGTGCCCCAGGTGCCCCAGGCGCCCCAGGTAACTTTATAATATTTATTTATTAATTAAGTAATCTGTTTATCTAATTAGTTGTTCGCCGTTAATCTTGAAACAAATAAACACGTGTCACGTCGATTCACGAATTATCAGTGCAATATGGTTGCGGATCCTTAATGTAACAATATAACGTTTTGCTTATTTTCAGGTCTGAAGGGTGATGCTGGTGCCCCAGGCGCCCCAGGAGCCCCAGGTGCTAATGGCAAAGATGGCCCAGCCGGTGCTCCTGGCGCCAATGGTAAGTATCTTGCTTTAGGTGTATACTTTAAAACAATATCCATCCGGCACCAACAAATTGTATGCAGCATTAATACTGACATACAAGCGCAGAGAGTTATTTCACAAAGAACTAGATTTATATTTATTAATTTTGGGAGTTGAATTAAAGTAGAATTGTAAGCACAACACACCATCCATGTAAATAACAAATTACCATCTACCTTTATTTAACACCGCATGTGAACACCCTGGATGAACAGTTTTAAAGATGTTAATCCTCTTTTTTGACTTCTCTTATCAAATTTGTAATACCCTGAGTACCATTAAAATACGTTTTTTAAAATATTTATACCAGGTCTCCCAGGTGCTAAAGGTGTCCCAGGCGCTAAAGGTGATAGAGGTGCCACTGGCGCCCCCGGTGCTCCAGGCAGAGCCGGTGCCCCAGGTGCTGCAGGAGCGACTGGTGCTAAAGGTCCAGCAGGCCCAGCAGGTGCCCCCGGTGCCCCCGGTATGGACGGTGCCCCAGGAGCTAGAGGCCAAGACGGTGCTCGTGGTGCAAACGGTCTTAATGGTGCCCCTGGTGCCCCAGGTGCTAAGGGTGATCGTGGTGCCACAGGTGCCCCAGGTGCTCCCGGACTTCAAGGAGCCGCCGGCGCTCGTGGACCAGCTGGTCCAGCTGGTGCCCCAGGAAACGATGGAGCTAATGGTGCCCCAGGAAAGGATGGTGCTAATGGTGCCCCAGGTGCCAAGGGAGATAGAGGTGCTACTGGTGCTGCAGGTGCCAATGGCGCTCCAGGAAAGGATGGCCTTGACGGTGCTGATGGCAAAGATGGCGCCCCAGGCGCCAATGGCAAAGATGGCGCCAACGGTGCCCCAGGTGCTGATGGCTTGGATGGTGCCCCAGGTGCCCAAGGAGCAAAGGGTGCCCGTGGAGCTACAGGCGCCCCAGGTGCCGCTGGTGCCCCAGGGGCCAATGGTAAAGATGGTGCCCCAGGTGCTGCAGGTGCTGATGGCAAACCAGGTGCTGCAGGTGCCCCAGGTGCTCGTGGTCCAGCTGGCCCAGCAGGTGCCCCAGGTAAGGATGGTGCAAGAGGAGCTAATGGTGCCAATGGTATCCCAGGTGCCAGGGGTGACCGTGGTCCAGCCGGACCACAGGGCCCAGCTGGTGCTAATGGTGCTAACGGTGCTCCTGGCAAAGATGGTGCTAATGGTGCCAGAGGCCCTGCAGGTCCTGTTGGTCCAAAGGGTCCCACCGGACCAGCTGGCCTTCCAGGTCGCAACGGTAAAGATGGTGCCAATGGTAAGAATGGTCTCGACGGTGCTCCTGGTGCTCCAGGTAAAGATGGTCTCAACGGTGCTCCAGGAAAAGATGGCAGAAACGGTGCCAATGGTGCCCCAGGTAAGGACGGTGCTCGTGGACCAGCTGGCCCACAGGGTGCCAAGGGAGACGCAGGTGCCAATGGAGCCGATGGTTTGAATGGCGCTCCAGGTAAAGACGGCCTCAATGGTGCTAACGGCAGAGATGGCGCTCCTGGCAAAGATGGTGCTAAGGGACCAGTTGGCCCACAAGGACCAAAAGGTCCAGCAGGTGCCCCTGGTGCTGATGGAGCTGATGGTGAAGACGGCGATGACGGTGCTAATGGTGAGGATGGTGCTCCAGGTGCTCCAGGTGCCCCAGGTGCTGACGGCAAGAATGGTGCCCCAGGTGCTAAGGGCGATAGAGGAGCTAACGGTGCCCCAGGTAAAGACGGCGCTGATGGCGCTAACGGTTCCCGTGGCCCAGCAGGTCCACAAGGTCCAACAGGCCCAGCCGGTCCACAGGGTGCCCCAGGTGGCGTTGGAGCCCAGGGTGCTCGTGGTCCAAAAGGTCCACAGGGTGCTCCCGGTAACCCAGGCAGAGATGGTGCTCCAGGCAAGGATGGCGCTCCAGGTGCCCCAGGTGCCCCAGGTGCCAAGGGTGACGCTGGCGCCCGAGGTGCTGATGGCGAAGATGGTGACGACGGAAAGGATGGTGCTCCAGGTGCCAAGGGTCCCCGTGGCCCACAGGGCCCCGCTGGCAAGCCAGGCGCAAACGGCCGCGACGGCGCTCCAGGTGCTAGAGGTAAATTGCTTTCACACCTACAGCAATGTATCAAATCATTACTCACAAAATGTATTTCAACGAAGAACTCGCTATTTGTAACTGTATTGTTCCTACCAGTCGCGGTGACATTTATGCTGATGTTATAAATGTGTGTGTTTGTATCACAATAGAAATATTTACTGGCTAGGATAAAGCCAACCTTTTCCTTAACTGTCTTTGCTGTGGTATTTGTTGCAGGTGAGAAAGGTGCCACTGGTGCTCCAGGTGCCCCAGGTCTTGACGGCAAAGATGGTGCCCCAGGTGCCCCAGGTGAGTCTTTCAGCGTTATATCATATACCCATAATACATAAACCATCTACCATTTATAATATTGCATTATGTCAAATTGTTATGCCCGTTGCTCTTTTCATATCAATTTGAGTAGTATCGTTTAAGTTTTGTTTTCATTTTTCTGTTGAAGATCATTAGAGATTATAAATTATAAATTTCTTTTCTTGTGCGTGTTTTATCTTACTTTTTTTTTTTTTTTTTTTGTATGATTTTGCGCGAAAATATGTCGCTCACATAAAACCATACAAAAGATATAAAAAGCATTAGGCCTCCGGTAAAATATAAACAAAGATTACATCTTAGATCTATTTTCATCCAGTTGCTTGACTTGATTACGGACTTCGGTTTTATAACACACTCTACTGTGCCCAATCTGCTGGTCGTCGGCTCTGTCAGATTATTAACACTGTCTTAGTTATAGCATTAAATGCACAGAAGCTGAATCACGAAAACCTGTAATATGTTTTGTAGTCTGGGTATCTACATGAATTAATCCCTTTTTTTTTTTTTTTTTTTTTTTTTTTGTAGCATTATTTTAATTTTTCAATACGCAATATTTAATTTTTGTCCCCACGTAGTTTTGTGAGTCTTATTTTGCGCGCCCTACGACAATCGCGTGTTGTATTTCAGGTAAACAAGGCCTGCAGGGGGCGCCAGGTAAGCCAGGAGCCCCAGGGAAAGACGCTGTTGTCCATTCCTTCCAGAAGAAGAGGGTGTACAGAGGCTAAGGTTAAATCATCAGCAGAATGAGCAAAGATTGTGTTCAAATTATTTTCTTATATCTTAAAACATGTTTCTTATTAATGAATCTATCCACCATTCACGTACAGCACTTCAGCCGCCTTAGATGATTGTTTTAGGTGCGATTTCAAATAAATGCTGTTGCTATTTATTATATACAACATCTTGTAGTGAAATTTATTTCAAAAACCGAAATAAGGGACGGACTCACTATTCTTCGGGGACCAGACGAGAAAAGAAATTCTCAAATGCAAACACTTATTTTATTAACTATTTTTCAGTCTATTTAATCAAATTAATTTGACGACGCAAATAACGCAAATAATCCGCGGACGACATTCCCAAAATACTTTCCTCATTAACAGCCATATACTATTTTTTTAACGTGCTACAATGGCGCAATTGGAGGCTCGTCCTCTCATCTCTTCTTAATAGTTTATCGTTTGATTTCAAATTTGATGATTCAAAACCCTATCTACTGATAACTTGATTAATGTTAATAAAAAATAATATATAATTACTTATATTATCTTTGCTGGGTTAAATGCGATTAACATTTAATCATTATCTTTTACTCTCTCTTTTCATCTATTATTCCATGAAGTTAATAAGACGTTTGGAAGGTCCCTCAAGTCCATTTCTCTCTTTTTTTCACTGATAAGAATCATCCTAGGAAGAAATCATTTAAGAATAGTCGAGGAACTGGAGTGAGGTTCAAGGACTGGATAAAATAGAGCAATGCGTATGTGTAAATAGTCTTTAAGCGGCAGGTATTGGTGCGCTCTTACACAAATACTTTTACAGAAAAACATTGAAATAAGTTTAGAATTTTACCCGATGTGAAACAGGGATTGTATGATCATCTAGATAACATCTGAGTCTCCTACTCTGTGCTTCTGTACAAAGAGGCCACTCTTCTGTATGACATAATGATCTGTCGCTGGTGAGAAATAGGAGGTAAACCGACATCTTGATTTGGCAACCCGCACCCATTGTCTACCATTAAGCAGTGACTTACATTTTAAATTTTAAGCTACAAAAACTTGAATTTCGTACGCACAATTGACAAAAGTAAAAACCAGCATTAAAGAGACACGATAGACGTGAGGAAAAGGCCAGGTCATGGAACAGTTGCTATTATACAATCCAAATGGTTCAACTCCAGCTGACCCGTTCGATATGCCCAAATTACTTCTCCATGAGCAGATATTGAAAACGCCAAGGACAATCGCATTGATTGTAACCCCGCTTTAATGGTTTTCCGCACGATTCCCCACACTATTTAATTGATGTGCCCGTAATCCAACATGGCTCCCAACAATTGGCCTTTTCATATTCCTATGCCTGTGCGACGAATGACGAATGACGCCCTGCTTAAATAAATGTGTCCCGTCTAGAGGATAGGTCTTTTGACAATGTCTTACTGTAAAAGTTTGCCTCAGCAGCACGAGTGTGTTCACCTAGTTTAACAGGAACAATAGATAAGAGAGAAAAAAATCGAGAGAGCGCTTCTTTTCCCATGCTTAGTAACTTTCTTTTGCAAACATTTAATATGGAGCCCATTCCTCGGCTGTGCCAACACACTCAATGTACATACACAAACAGAGAGAGAGAGAGAGAGAGAGAAGAGGGGACGAGGGAGGGAGAGAGGGTTTGAAGGAGAGAGACTGATATGAGAATTACTTTACCGCTGCATGTTAAAATCGAATTCATTTCTTTCTATTATCGTTTAACAGATATTTTGATATCTATCTGGTTTCTCAATCAATGAAGACCTTTAAAAAATAAAGTATAAGCATCAGTACACAGTACATTTATTGTGCACTTATACCCAACATTTATAGTAACCATGTCCACCACTTTATGTAAATGATAACAATTAGCGTTCAGATTACACCTGTAGACCTCTTTATGTTAGACATACAATGCGTTTAAAAAGTGTAAAACAATACATGCAGAGATAATAATAACTATTAAAGGAAGTAAATATTTTGTGCAATCCTCACCCTGTCATGTAACAATATATATAAGTAAGTGAAAAGAAAATCGTTTTAAATGACACTTAAGTTATGTTTATCCTATGAGGCAGCGAAAATCCTAAATCACACCACTGTGAATGCATCTGTGTGTTTTGTACGATTTGGACATTTGACACGATAATCATTTCATCATATTAAAAACTTCTGGCAAAGAGCAAACAGAGATTTACAGCTTTGGCACCTCAATTTGTCTTCAACCCCATATGTCGCGGTTGTAATAATAATCAATAAAAATCCAGAAATACATGATATGTAACGCAACTGGTCTTTTGTCCTTTGCTTTTAAGTTAAAACATTAACTACTGTAGGACCAGGCGCCTCACGCTTAAAGTAAGCGAGACTGAAACAGAGTATTGGAACATTAAACTTCATTACATTGCCAAAATGAGAATAAGTGACCATGAGCTGGCGATAGAGAAAGGCAGGCACATGAAAATCCCTCTGGAAGAAAGAACCTGTACACATTGTAAAACAGAAATAGAGGACGAGAAACATTTCTTCAGCACTTGCAGCAAGTACCAAAAAGGGCGACAAATTAAAGCATGCTCAATTCCCTCCCAAATACTGAGAGACAAAATTATGAATTAGCAGGCAGTGATCAGAAACCATTTATCCTCCTCATCCCTCAAGATCATAAATCACTTAATGTAATATCACAGTATTAGCAGCACAATGAATAAGCACTCAACACATTTATTAACATTTAGCTTTGACAGATATTTTATTCTTTATTTTATCCTTTATTTATATTTTTTATGTAAGCACAATAGAAAAGTGTAAGTAGTAGTTTAGAAAGCGAACAATGTTAAATTGTAACACTTAAAGCTGAATAAATTATTATTATTATTATTATTATTATTATTATTATTATTATTACAAGCGTACATCACATCGTAGACTTTCTATTTAGTCCAAACAGCTGCGTGAGGGAAGTCACAAGAATGGCAGCAGGTGCCGTGTGGTCTTACAAAACAAACGCATCAACTCCTCGTGCCAACCTTGATAATGTTGAATGATCAATGATCACGAACGAACCCTCACACTTGACTTGATGTCGCTTGTCTTAAAACTGTAGAGTCACAATGACATGGCATTCCTGATATGAAGAATGAATCTGATATGATTTACCTCACCCCTGCAGAGTCACATCACTAAATGCATACTATAACATTCTATTTCGCTGGAGGACAAATTTTTTTTTTTTTTTTTTTTTTTTTTTAATGTGACAAAATATCTTTGCCACTGACCCTAAATTGGGCAAAGTTCAGTATAGTAGTTTATAGCAAGCAAAATACTAGTTGATTCATCTAAATTTGAAAAGCCATGATACAGATGCTTGAAAATATTTGGTTTGATACTTTTTACACTTACTGTATATAATCCAAACTTATTATTTAAATAGACAACAAATATACCAAGAGCAATCCATCCCACCGCAGTTTCAAATATATAACAAACTATATGTAATCAAATCTATATTCGATAATGAAAATATATTAGTCTCTATGTCCTTTGTTTGGTCAGCATTTGAAATATACGAGAACATGTAAAAGCACTGTGACCAGTGCAAAACTGTTAACATTTTATTATGAGGACACCTTGAAGCGAAGTTTGAACTCAACAAATTACATCGCATATACAGCTATTATAGGTTACATGTATGTTGTTTGCACGTTCACACACACAAACACACACACACACACACACACACATGTGCACGTTCACGGCACTGGGTAAAAACAATGGGACATGGGCATCAATGTTTCAACATGGGGCCGATCTTGTGAGAACGCTTTCCGTTGAAAATACAGTGTATGCTTCGTATATGGCCTTATATTAATACATTTTGGAAAATGTAACATCAAACACATATAAAAATTATCAGGGAAGAGGCACTTAACTTCACACAATTGGAAAAGCACCCTGAATCGGTGGTTAAGCAGCGATGATATGAAATCGTCTCGCGTGCGTTTCACGCCAAAAAGTGGGTACCGGATACAGCTAATTTAATTAGCCTCATTTAATATTCATGTGACCGGGTCATTACGTCATCAATGGATATTTCCACTATGTACGCTGGGTCCCTGGGCCGAATCTGAATTTGAAAAAGGAAACTGCACGCTAGCTGTGGTTTTGCTGTCGTGCGTTCCTTAAGAAATAAAAACAGAATTGGGTCATAGCATCTGTTATTACACCCTCAGATGACAGGATTTCCTTACACTTTGTTGTATTATGAAAAGCAGATTGTATTTCAGGTATTTAAATCCCAAAATTGAACGATTTGTATAGTTCATGTGCATGGGAGATCATACTTTGTATTGAAGTCTAAAACGGAAATGATGATAACACACAATAACCCATTTTCTTCACCCATCAAAGAACATTTTTTGTATTTCTCTAGTGACATGACATGACCAAAAACATGACAATACTATTCTGAGAGCTTCTTTTTTATAATGCACAGCTGCAAAGATTGGTATGTCTGTGTCCCAGATTTAAGCGCTGTTTGAGTGTCATTTTCGGCTAAGGATTAATAAGTTTAAAATATTCAGCAATGTTTGGGAATACATAATTGTTTGTTATAATGAGACAAATCCATCCCCTTTCACATGAAAGCACCCGCATGGTAATCCAACACATAGAAATATTTTGACAGAATTTTAAAGATGATAGCCCATTGTTGTTACCGAGTACCGTAGACGTGCACATATACAGCCATACACATACACACACACACACACACACACACACACACACACGCTGACACACAAACACACACACACAGAGAGACTGAAGCTTAAAATGTCTCTTGAAAAAAATTACAATGAGTATAGCAAATAAAAGCGATCTGCTATGAATAAAGCATTGTGTGGGGTAAATAATGAACGCAATTTATCAAAGTGGTGAAAAAGCATGATGGGAATTATTAGTGCTTAATGTTTTTATTTGACTGTTTCCATTATCCTCTCTCTTATGTAATAAAACCCTCTGATCTAAACGATATAGACGAGAAAGCATTCCGTTTCTTTTTCTTTTTGCCATCTGCATCTAATTCGATAGCCTACTCATTCGGAGCACGAACAACGGTATTAAACAGATGTAATTTAATTCTAATTCGGATCAGGAACATAAGCAGGCTACGTAATGCTTTTCGTGTCATGGCATTTACGCCTATTTATTGTCTCATACACGTTATATAAAATTGATCTTTTATTCAAAGCGATTTCATATTTAACCACCTGCAGCAACTTTGTTGCTTATTTGTAATAAATATATATTTGTAGAAAACGTGCCAGTTAATATTGGCTCGTCTCAAATTATAATTAAAAGTACCAAACGCCATTGTTTGAAATATTTAAATACACCATATTATTAGAAGCGTATAATATTCCGCCGAAAACACCGTATGGTTGACCCCGTTAACAATATTTTATTGCTTTAGTACTAGGATTGGCTTTTAGCTGAAGAAAAAATAAGGGTGTTTCAATATAAACGTGGTCCATTAAGAGGTTTATATCTATGCTTATTTAACTTTATTTTATTTTATTTTATTTTATTTTATTTTATTTTATTTTATTTTACTTTATTTTATTTTATTTTATTTCGGGGTTGATAAAAAAATTAACTCATGCAAAGAAGAGACTGCAAATCAAGGAAAAAAGGCAAATGCGTTGAAACCTGTACAGCTGAGATACCACATTATGATTGTTTTCAACAACTTTCCCCTTAAGTTTCAATTTGGTTTAAGAGATTGAAGGACACAGGAACATTGATGAAGTCCACTAAGAAACAAGTGGTCGAAAGTTGACTGCAAGATCACCGGAGAATGTGGACTCAGTGCAAGATTTTGTTGGTAGGAGTCCAAGTATGCTATCAGCGTCGAGATGTACATTTAGTGAATGTCCCTTACAGTTAAAATTCTAACAAATAAAATCCATCATTTCACCTTTTCACCTTTAAATTTTTATTGTCTTTTATTTCTGGTTCACAAGTTATAATTGGGTACCCGAGTCACGTGTATACTGAAACAGCCTTTAAAACTAACGACGACTTTTCGACTCTTTGACATTTACCCTAGATTAGTTCTTTTTTCTTTGTGCTGCTTACAACAGAGACGAAGTGGATTTCCCGTCAAGTGTACTCCTCTGTTAATAAGGACGTTAGTGAAATACACAACCCAGTATTATGCAGTCATTTACAATGAAAAGTAAGGAATCGTGAAAAAACAAATTAGTATAAAAACCCCTTAGCCGATATAAATCCACAAAAAAAATATACAATTAAAAAGGATGATGACAGGTGCTTCACCAACTCGCGACTGATTGAGAACGAAATTTGACCCACTGTCACAATTCGCCCTCAAAACGGTCGCTTGACCGGTGTAACAAGGGATTTACATATCAAAGCATAACTCGAATGTATGGTTCATCTCATTAACAGTCATGTATTACATAAGTCCACTGCGTGACTTTATCCAAAAATATTCCCCTTGTTACTTTATTCTCCTGTTGCAAAATAACTCTTTGTGAAAGGGTGAAGCTGTTGCCATAAACCTATCCCCAAATAAACTCGGCTCAGTGGTTTTAATGACAAATATAAAGTTTGTTCTCTTCTTCAAAAGAGTCAAATATTATGCATAATGCGCAGACGCCCTCTCCATAACTGTCTTCGTTCAATGTCGCTGAGTTATATTCTTTATAATATAATATCAAGGTTGTCATTTAAAAATACACAGAGATACGGTTGAAAACCCTTTGTTCAAACTTTGTTATAAAGACAGACGAAACGAACTCATTCTGTACCATGCTAGACGGCCGTTAGTTTCAAACGGATCCAAGTTACATTTTTCAAATAAGTACTTATTTGGCCATTCCATTATACAGTTGTAGTATTGTACGCTCTCTAAGTGTTTACACACACGCCACCAGTCCAGGCTGGCCCTGGATATACTGTTTACTATGCCCCGGGGGCGTGGTCCTCACGAAAACCCAGATTTCTGGCCTTGATTTAGTGTATAGGTTACTACCCAGTATATCTATTATAGCTTGAATGAAAAGGGCACTGCGCGTATGGTTAATGTTTCCTGCGCGGTGCAAACCTAAATAAACAAACAATAGGCATACTTTCTGAGATGAAAAACATGCATGGTTTAATTGCATCACTGCATGTGAGTGCCATTCCTATTCGCCTAGTATAAAAGGCGGGAACAGTAAGAATAAACGAGACAGACAGAATTTGCTTTTCCTAAAGGAACAACTTTCTCCACTTGGAAAAGGTAAGTCACACTTAAGGTCGGAGATTTTGGAATATTGCACAGTAAGGAAGAAGGTCAGAGATTTTGGAATAATGCACAGTAAGGAAGACTCTTTTATATTTACAACGATGTACCAGAAAGAAATATTTCTTGAGACGAACAATGAATAAGTTTTGTAAATGTTCTCTCATTTGTTTCCATTACATTTACTCATTATAATATAGCCGCTTGGTTGAAGATTTCAAAAACAAGTTTAATATTTTTGAGTGCCGAAAACTCGATCTGGTTTTATACCAAAATTTCAGTGTTTATAAAGAGATGAAGTTTTTGTTCAATATTACTTTCAGTGCTTTTAAAGGGAATGGATATTCATTGATCAAGTAATCTTATTTTAACAATTAGTTTCGATTCAACATTAAATACCACTTAAAAACGCGTTGAAGTAATTTGACAGTTTTTGTAATCCAATTAACAAAGCCGACAAACTTTTAATTTTCTATACTTATACCCATTACCATCATACAAAAAAATTCAGAACTGCGGTTTTTTACCGTTTTAAGCATACGAAAGCAGAAACAAGCAAGGTATGCTTGATACATGTATACTGTGCGCTAATTCAAATTCTCCTGGTGCTATAAAAAGAGAGAACGGAGGAAATGAATATGACAGGCAAAATTCGCCTTCCACAATGGCTTGTGTTTCTTGAAGAGATCACAAAGTTTTACGTGCATAGTGGGATGTTGCGCATCTTTACCATTTTCATTCTCTGCGTAGGGATTTGGACATTTACCAGCATGAAAACCAGCGTTGCCAAAACGCCTTTGTGGGATCAAAAGATTTTGAGAGTGCATCCTTAACTTTTATTATTATTATTATTGCCCGTTTTATTCAGTTTATGATTAAATTGTTAATTTAAACGGGGATCAAAGGTTTTTTATATACGACCTTCAATGATTGCTATCATTACAATTCATTTTCATTTGTATTTTAATCATGTTTTTATTCATTCATTTGTTGATATTTGTAAATCACAAATGGCTTATGAGAGGCACCTTTTTTTCTTTGGCTTTCGCAACAACAGCGTAAGAAAAACGCATTCTGGGAACAATAAGTGATACGGTGCTTCAAACCTCACCTGTCGCATTGGCCGTGCTTCCCCGTTCTTAGCATGTTATCAGGCAGTGTAGCCTGACTAATTAACTCTTACTGTAACAAAAAATAGCACGGCATTTAACTCTCTTTTGTTTGCCGAAGGTTGTTCAGTTTGTCGCGCCTGCTTTGGCATTTATGGTAATGTTAAGTAGCATGCAAAGCTCCAATACACGCAATTGGTCAAGGTCTAATGGACATTAGTCAGTGCTACTCATTCATTTGGAAATCACCGTTAATGAAATAAGTCTCGAAAAAGTAAGGCGGGGTTTGACCTTCATATTCATTTTGCGTGTTGAATACTCCTTAAAAATAATTTGAACTTCGCATGATAGTACTTAATCTATCTTAGATTTTGTTGTTCGCCGGTCCACGTGTTTGGTTGATGAGATAGGCTTTGAGGCGGTGTTTATGTGTAATAATGTTTTTTTTTCCTTTAACATCTTCTTCAATTTTCATTATCATTGCTACTGGTTTATTTCCTTAATTGTTCCTATTTAAAGTGGCTTTAACATTATTTAAGACGGCATGTTCGTATTACATGTAGAGAATTTATAACATGCTTTTGTAATATTTTTTTTAAAAGAAAAAGCATTGGAGTGGACAGAAACATATCTATAGTAATTGCACTTTCTATCCATTGCATGTTCACAGCCAAAAAATGTGGACCCGTTTGGCACTCCTCGCTGCCGTCGTCGTAGTGGCCGTGAATGCCAGTGAGTACATGTTATGTCGTTGTATTACTTTTGATTGATTTGGGTTACTTAAATGATACAATCAGTGGGCGACAAAATAATACGCACATACTGACAGTGAATTTGCTGGTAGTTAATGCGAGTAAAATTGTAATATATGTTAATATATGAGTAAGATAAAATAATAATGCCACATTGCATAATAATAGACCAAATTGCCTATCGTAGCTAGAATGTATAGCGTTTTAGTTGTCGCTGCGCTTTATTTTATTTATTTATTTTTTTTTTTTTTTTTCATTTCACATTGTCATTCATATATTGTAATTCTTATATCAAATGAGCATTGTAACAGGATATGCAGTTTATCTTAAAATATTTTCTTTTTTTTTCAGCTGCATTCTTTGGCGGTAAGACCACGTGGACATCATATAATAAGAATGCGTATCTTACATAGCCTTGGCAACATTTACATAGTGACTTAACACTTTTCGAAATGAATAACCAGTCGTACATTTCGCCTGTCTCTATCCCAAATTATGCTTCTCTTCTAAATTTCAATTTTAGGATTTACCTAGAATTTTACATGGAAACTGACCCATGAGTTATTTAATTTGATGTCATATCCATTTCTGACTGCGTCGAATTCTTAACTGACTGGTCGTTTAAGTTCGATTACGAAAATAGATGAATGTTAGATGGTGTAACCATTTCTAAGCAGATTCAAGAATCGATTCAAAGAACTTATAAAATTGTCTTAATAGCTAAATATTTAGATTCCAAATTTCTTTATGACAACACACGTACTTTGTTGAACTTTAAATTCATTTATAGATGACATTGAACATTAATTATCTTAACGCAAAACCATTGCTGGTCAGTTTCTCAAAGAATCATTCTTTTTGTGCCTGTGTTCCAGACCCATGCACACCAAACCCATGTCTGTACGGCGGACGCTGCACTACAACCGGAAGAGACAGCATGTCCTGCGCATGTCGCAGAGGGCTCACTGGAATAATCTGTCACTTGGGTAAGTTAGGGCGTTGAAATTATGTTCAATAAGTTTCAGAAGATAAGAGAATCTATATCGGTAGCACTACGCTCAGCAACATCGTCGTCGATGTGGTGCCTATCGTTATTATTAACTGGGTTGAAATCTTGATCCTTTTCTGAATTAGACTTCTTTTTCAGTGATGTTTTCTTTTTCAAAGAAATACATAAAAGACTTCACAGTTATGATACCAAACAAAAAATATTATTTTAAAAAAGCTTAGGAAAATTTTTTTTAAATCGAAATTGTTAACAATTGTTACGCAGAGTCGATATGTTGAATGAGAGGGTTTGATAGTACAGACAATACCATTTCTTTTTCAATTCACCAGATGCTGCTACTGGCGCCCCAGCCTTGTTTGACCTTGCTAACGCTGGTCCAGTTGGCCCAACAGGTGCCACCGGTGCTCAGGGTCCAGCCGGACGTCCAGGTGTTGGTGCTCCAGGTCTCGATGGTGCCCCAGGTGCCGCAGGCGCTCCAGGTAAATTACGACCAAAGTTAAATCTTCATGAAATAACGACGGGGAATATGTTCCCATCATGCTACTGTTGATTTCGTACTCATTGAATTTTAGCTCAAACAGCATTTAAGGCCAGAATATTACACCGGAACATTACACGCCAGGGTTCATTACATGCCATGTTTCGGCAGTTTTTGAATGTTTTTTTCAGGTGCTTCTGGTGACGCAGGTGCTGATGGTGCCCCAGGTGCCGCTGGTGCTGATGGTCTGCCAGGTGCCCCAGGTCTCGATGGTGCTGACGGTAAGTTGGCATATTTTATATTTTTTGCTATATTACTGACATATTAAACCGATATTACGCGTGCATGAGAAATCATGATCGAACAGTGAATTATTTGTCTATTCATTTATTTATAAATATCGATTTTAATTTACTAATTTATTTCAATCTTTAATTAAAATTCTTCAAAGTCCAGCTCTTAACCATTATTGTTTTCTTTTGTTCTATCAGGTATCCCAGGATTTGGTGCCCCAGGCCCCAAGGGTGACCGTGGTTTCACCGGTGCTCCAGGTGCCCCAGGTTTCGATGGTGCCCCAGGTGCTCCAGGTCTTGATGGTGCCCCAGGCCCACAAGGTCCAGCAGGTGCCAGAGGTGCTAACGGTCGTCCAAGCGGTGTTAATGGCGCTCGCGGTGCCACAGGTGCTCCAGGTCGCGATGGTCTCGATGGTGCTCCAGGTGCCCCAGGTGCCAAGGGTGACCGTGGATTCCCAGGTGCCACTGGTGCTGCTGGACGTCCAGGAGCCGCTGGTGCTCCAGGACCAGCCGGTCCAGCCGGTGCTCCAGGCAAGGATGGTCTCAACGGTGCCCCAGGTCGCGATGGCCTTTCCTTCGGTGCTGGACCAAAGGGTGACCGTGGTTTCACTGGCGCCACTGGTGCTGCTGGTGCCCCAGGCAAAGATGGCTTCCCAGGACGTCCAGGCGCTGATGGTCTGCCAGGTGGCCCAGGCAAGGACGGTCTTAACGGTGCTCCAGGCCGCAACGGTCTCGATGGCCTTAATGGTGCCCCAGGCGCTAAGGGTGATCGTGGTTTCACCGGTGCCACTGGTTTCACTGGTGCCCCAGGTGCCAAGGGTAAGGATGGTCTCAACGGTGCCCCAGGTTTCGATGGTGTCCCAGGTGCTGCAGGTCGCCCAGGTCTTGGTGGTCCAGTCGGTGCTCCTGGCCGTGATGGCAAGAACGGCGCTAATGGTGCTAGAGGTCTTGATGGCGCTAACGGTGCTAGAGGTGCTCGTGGTCCAGCTGGTCCAGTTGGCCCAGTCGGTGCCCCAGGACGCAACGGTGCTCCAGGCAAGGACGGATTCAACGGCGCTAACGGTGCCGTTGGTGCTGTAGGCCCACAAGGCGCAACTGGTGCCAGAGGCGCAACTGGTGCCCCAGGTAAAGCCGGCAAGGATGGTCTCAACGGCGGTCCAGGTGCCCCAGGCGCCAATGGTAGAGACGGATTCAACGGTGCTCCAGGTAAAGATGGCGCTAATGGTCTGAATGGTGCCCCAGGTGCTCGTGGTGCAGCTGGTCCACGTGGCGCAACAGGTGCAAAGGGAGCTACTGGTGCTCCAGGTTTTGATGGTGTCCCAGGCGGCCCAGGCAAGAATGGTCTTGACGGCGCTCCAGGCAGGTTCGGTGCCCCAGGCAGAAACGGTGCTCGTGGTCCAGCTGGTCCAGCTGGCCCAAGAGGTCTTTCTGGTCTCGCTGGCGCCGATGGTGCTCCAGGTAAGGCTGGTGCTGATGGTGCCCCAGGTTTGGCTGGTGCCCCAGGTGCTACTGGCGCCACTGGTGCCGCAGGCCTCAATGGTGCTCCAGGTGCTAAGGGTGATCGTGGATTTACTGGTGCCCCAGGCAGAAACAGCTTCGTCCAAGGTGCTACAGGTGCCCCAGGCCCAGCTGGTCCACAGGGTGCAACAGGCTTGACAGGTGCTACAGGCTTCACTGGTGCCCCAGGAGCAACTGGTGCCCGTGGTCCAACTGGTCCAACTGGCGCCACAGGTGCCCCAGGCAAGGCTGGCGCTCCAGGCCGTGATGGTGCCCCAGGTGCCCCAGGTGCTGCAGGCGTCAAGGGTGATCGTGGATTCCCAGGATTCCCAGGCAAGGACGGTCTCAATGGTGCCCCAGGTGCCACTGGAAGAGCTGGCGCAAGAGGACCAAGAGGTCCAGCAGGTGCTCCAGGTGCCCCAGGCCGTGATGGTGCCACAGGCGCTGCCGGTAAGCAACCATATTATGACAATGTAATTTTGAATGTACACCTTGTAGTCTTTAAACTAATTTCACCCCTAGTAAATCTTCTGAACCTTTCTCCAGTGGATCATGCTGAGGCATTAGGCTTCGGAAACTTGTTCTAAATGAATACGGGTATTTCGATTTAAGTATATCAGCGACACCCTGTTATTCTTACATTGTGCTGATTATATTCCCTCTGTCTCTATTAATATTTGCTTATGTACCTTCCATGTAGGTGCTAGAGGCGCCACTGGTGCCACTGGTGCCGCAGGCCTTGATGGTGCAGCAGGTGCTGCCGGTGCCCCAGGTAAATATCCAGCCAATCAAATTAAAGTCCGTCTATGAATGATTATTGAAGTGAAGTAAAAAGCAAAAAAAAAATGCTTTTCTATCAGTTTCAGCATTTACTGAGCGAGTGGAAATATTTAATATAAAGTTATTTTATACGGGTCTGAAAATGGTCATCAATGGGAACATAGCAGAAAATCATTCTCCTACATATATTATGCAGTGTTTTATTAAATGCACCGCCATTTCATATGCGTGCTGTATTTCTGCAGGTGCCATGGGAACCATGGGCGCTATGGGTTCCAGAGGATCCCAGGGAAGACCACACATCTTCCACGCTTTCGGCTCTAAGAAAGGAGGATTTTTATAAGCGCAACAAGACGGCGACTCTGAAACATCCCGAAGAGAAGCTGTGAAGAACTTATAAATTATCAGTTATGTAAACGGAATGGTTTATATATTTTTTCTTATTAAAGAGAATAATACAGTATATAATTTGAAACAGTACAAATCGTGTTGTTCGTTTTCTTTTATCCCCACCGCCGAGGAGGGACTTGGAGTTTGTAAAATGAAAGCACGTGTTTATTACCTACCTTTTCTTCTGTACTGTTATTCATAAAAGTCTAGTCTAAATCAATTTTTGTTTAATAAATTAAATAATTAATTCTACCATGCCAAATAATGCTTTGGTATTTAATTAGACATCACAACCATATTAATATAAATTAATAAAATATAATATTCAATAATCAAATTCTATTGAATGTTTTTGAAACCTTAACTTACCTTAACAGAAATGCGTCTGTATAAAAAGATTCAGAATACATTCAAATAATGATTGATCCCATGCAAATATGCAATTTTATTGTTTCAAGCAAGCCAGAAGGATGGTAACTAAAAGTTTATATATTTTTAAGCTCCATCTTATACCATTTGAATTACCCCTTGTCGACCTGTGTTTGAAGCTTTCCCAAATAGTCAAATCCCGCTATGTCTACTTATCTACATGCGATACATATAGCCATGATCATTAATCATTGATCAGAATTCTGCAAAGCCACTTATCTTTCCCAAGTCAGACCTTCAGACGATAAATGTACTGATTACATAGTATCTGATGTCAAAACGTATTTCTGAAATGTACAGAAAGGCAAGGCATAGAAATTGTTACGGGGAACATTTAGAACTAAGTTGCATAAGTAATTTGGTGTAAAACATCGAATCTAAGAGCTGTGACGGTCGAGCAAAAAATTTGATTACGTACTCTTTTTAAGGCAATTTCTATTTGGCGATAAATGCGGGAACGGATTCGTATAATTCGTAAGGCATTGATAAATAACTCGTAATCGAATGTTGATATGCTAAGTATCTAATACAAAAATCCATTCTCGTTCGGTATGGTTTAATTATGCACCACCTGCTTCTTTTGGTGATACAAAGTGTTCACTTACTTTTCATGTCCAGAAAATAATCCAAAGTTATGTAACTCGAAATTAAACATATAATCCTTATCTGTGGACTCAGAAATCTAAATTCGAAAAAAAAAAGAAAACGAATGTTTTTGCCAATTTTATTTCCAAAAATATAAAGAGCAAATTCCTGTAAAATGCACTTTCTCTGATGTCATTAGACTGAGTAAAGATTGTGAAATCTTTGTTTCTTTCACAAATTAATCTCCAATTCCAAAATCTACAAGATTTAACAAGAAACCAATACATTTGAACGATGTCAATGCTATATAGTTCACTGGGCGATAGACGGCGCAGCTGTCGTTAGGGTCAAAGGTCTTACTATAACCCCCTTGGGTTCTCGATAACCTGTAACACAAAAAATATCATTATTAATGATCATCGTTTTACGTCCATTGAAATTATTGATAATCGGTAAAGGGTTCGTTATCCCTAAAACAAGTTTAGAAACCAAATGTATCAATTCTTTTGTAAATAATTTTACTGCTGTAGCGCTTTTACGATAATAAAAAAGAGAGCTTTAGCCTACATTTGCATAACCGAAAATTGCCAATATATTAATTCGTTAAAGTCGGTAGTGACAATAGGAAACTAAAAAATGGTATTTAAAAATGGTCACAAAGTAACAGTTTGAGCAGTCCTATATTTTTGTGATGGGACTTGGAAAAGTTGATACTGCATTGACAAGTTTCAAATCTCGTAGTGTTTTGAAAATAAGATATGATAATTCGTAGGAGACTGCTTGGCTGCGCTTTTACACCTTGTGGGAGACAGTGAAAGCTCCATCATAAGCGCAGCACATTTCAAAATCTATTTTTGATCGCTGATATGTTACATGACCATGGGCACTGCAGTGATATTCTTGGTGGAGTTGAAATTTCCATATCAATTTTTAAAAATTATCGTTTTGCAAAACAACCACTAGTGAAAACATGAAATATTTATCATTTTAATATTTAAATTAATTGCCCGGTCGTTCACAAAGCGCATAAATGTTACGCAATAAATTTGAAGGCATCTCTACACATACCGGGGTATATCATAAACATATAGTATTTCTCTAAGAGAGTAGAATCATAAAAGTGTAATAAATGTGAGTACAGGTCAACCTCAAGTTATATGTTTTATGGGTGTACAACAACGAAGATTCTAATCGCGGTAGTTTATCAGCATTTTGCCATCGCGTCTCGGGGCATTAAGAGTTCCATCTACATCAGGACCGCCCATTAACCCTATCACGTGTACATACGCTCCTTTAACTTGACTTTTGATCTACGATATCACTAAGCCGTCTTGAAATACTGGTTATTATATAGTGGAGCATTTCCGTTTGAGGTCAATCTTTTGGGAAAACTATTTTCATACACAAGAAAGTCTTGTTTGTGTTCCTCGGAATTCTTTGTTGTCCAACAGAGCGGATACTGGTCCATGTACTGACAACGATTTAGGGCCCCTTTACACTGGACGGCGTCCTTTCTGCGTCCAGCAGTACGGACCCATTTGAGAGGTAAAAAATTATAATACTTTACGTGCCGACAACTGGCCGATCATTGAGCATTCATTCTGATACAAAGTCAATGCTCGTGTCTCCTTATTTAGACCACAGCGATGCCAAATGTCATGGTCGCAGAAAGGACGCAGAAAGGACGCCGTCCAGTGTAAAGGGGGTATTACAGACGTTCGCCTGCCAAAAGGACTGCTTCGTTGTACATGAGTGATCAGCGCCTCGTCCTAATTCCACTTTCCCACTCAGTGCTCCTTTCAGTGCCTCTTTATCGGATTTTTTTGGTAATAAGATGTATTAGATGTTGAGAAGTTAAAGAAATAGTTTAGAAATGTGATCAAATTATTACAAGCTTCCTTTGCCAATACGCGCTGTAATGGATTCATTTTTTACTCTATAAAAAACTGATATCTGATATTGGAATCGTGCAACAGTGCATTTGGCATTATTTCCTCGACCTCCATACTATCCTCAATCTTTCAGACAAGTAATTCATCTTTAAAAAAGCTATTAATTTCCCATTTTAACAATAAAATAGTCAACATACAATGACAGTGCTAAATCTGTTGACGGAGATATTGCAGGCTATTGATTCTTGGCACGCCACCTGCGCTCTTTACAGTTTTCTAATTTGACTTTCTGACAGCTTTTAAACTCTTTAAAAGAGAAAGGTGCTTTGTATGTAATACCATGGGCGGCACGCGAGTAAATGTGACTGGCTAAGCACCTGAAGCTCATCATGTAACTTCTGCCACAAAGGTCGATCTGCACTTTGGAAGGTCGTCGCACACGGGGAATACTTGTACACTGCATGCTCGTGTCGGATCAGGCCATTTGTTCGGATTTGTTCCTGCTTTCACGCTTCAACTCAAATGAAATCTTCCTACAATGCGTCCCATATAAAAAAACATATTATTCTTGTGCTTTCAAATAAAAACTTTTGAAGATGTTCCGTTTTAAATGAACTGCTATTATAAGGCAGCAACAGATGGCGCAGCTGTGACGTACGTTAGACGTTATTTGTAACGGGGTGCATTCATTTTCGCGACATGTTACAAGGGAGGTTGTGGCCCGCCTCTGAATTTTTATAGACCTTTGACATATATTGTATTGCCAACATTTCACTTTGTTAAACCCACTTGTTGCAGACTTTTTCATATATTTATTCATTTTGATATATGTAAGAATACGAAGATGGAATAATCCAGTTTAGTTTCCATTTCAACCAAATGCCCTTATAGAGCTTATAATTTTTATGATAGTCTTAAGTCCGATACTTTTAATATTCTGCAGGTAGCGGAAGGTGATATGAGAGGGACCAAGACACCTTTAAGTGTCTTCAATAGTCTAAAGGCGATTTTAATCTATTTTATCATTTTCATACGAACTTGATGATTTGTGTGTATAAAATTGTACTATTAACCAATGAATTTTAAACATTGTTAACATTTTTTATGATGTAAAAGGTAAAAGTTCACTCCACAAGGAGACGTGCATGCTGTCCTTGTTGTCCTGAATAGCAATGGCTTTCTATAACGTGTCGCACAAGATTTACCAAATTTATTACATGTACCTTTATGACCTACTGTTAGAAATGGCAAGTAGCAAAATATAGTAAGTACGGAAGAAAATTTAATGAACAGCTTTGATGAGAGATAGGGGGTTCGATGTGGGAAGACAGAGAGGCGGTGGGGTGAGACACTTTGACTGAGCAAGGTACCGGTACATGTAACGGCCGATTGAAAATGTCCTTAGTTCCCACTGTACCTTTTCATTAAAAGTACCGAGTATTTGAATCTGAACTTCGAGCAAGTCGTAGAAATATACATCTCCGTTTCAAAGGTTTATGGGACTTTCTACTATTGTTTCAAGTCGCACAATTTTCCTTCCTAAGGACAGGTACCAATGTTTAAAATGCATGTGGTATCCCTTTTAAATAATAAATTACCAAACTTGGCCACGAATTGAATTTTTGTAGAAAATCGTATTCAGATAACTCAGGTAAACATCATATTTGTTGGCGTGAATTTTTCAAATAGATTTTAAACTTCATTTCTGTGGTTTCTGGCCAATATAACGGAGGTTGGTACGTACCAAAAAGTGTCCAAACATTCAAAGGAGAGAACTTAATTTTAAAGTACATTTCCCTTCTTTCAGCCTACGTGCCGTCTCAACATCCAGTCAGCGGGGGCCATCGCACTGAAAATTTTATTTTGTACTGCGACTGGTTTTTGTATCATATTAATGAAGTAGACAGATTCCAAAACATTGATAATAGCTAGTATTTATTCACTGTAACATCTTGTCCCCGCCCCAGCGAGTTAGGGGGTCCCAGTTTGACATCGTATAATCACTTCATCACTTCATTATTATGATCTCCAGAACATCCTCGACATCTGATATGTTTAGAAAGTTTATGGTTGTGACATTTACGGTTGGTTATCGAGGCAAGTTCAGACGGGGTCGAGATTGCGTGTAATCCATGTTCAGGAACAAGGCAAACGTTGGAGAGGTGTCGCCATCAGATCTGGACGAAGATGCCACGCTCTGGTTCTACGGGAATTTTCACTATAAAAAAGCGTCGTCTGTTTTTCTCACATGAACTTGCATAAGAGTAAACCCTCTCTTATTATTCAATCTACTCAGCGGCCTGTATGTTGTCATGAGATGACGAGATCGGTCAGTCTAGGGTTTTGGACAGAGTTTCTCTGTTGTCTGATTGTC